TAATAAAATTATTTAATAAAATATTTTATTTACCTTATTAAATTTAATATATATATATAAACAGATATATAAATTAATTGAGATATAATAGGATATAATATTTCATTAAAATATTTTTTATAAAATCTGAAAAATATAACTGAAAAAGAAAAAAAAATATTATAATTTGTTAAAATTATAAGAAAAGTAGATTTTACTATTAAATTATTGATTTAAATTAAAAAATTTACAAAAATTAATTTTATTTTTTTTTTTTTTAAAAAAAAAGTTATTCATTATATTACAATCATAGTCATTTATAATTTTATTCATAATAATTACTATTAATTTATTTTTAAATAAAAGTTTTATTTAATTTAAATGTTTTTAAAAAACTTGAAGTAAATATATTTGATTACTAAAAAAAGAAATTCTATTTATTTTATTTATTTTAAAAAAAAAAGTGTATTTATTAAATTTTGAATCAATTTAGATTGACTTGTTTATTAATCTAAAAATTTAGGTTATATCAATAGATTTTCAGATTAAAGTTAGATCAGATAAACCTTTTATCTAATTTAACCTAACAAAATTTAGATTAACTAATTATTCTTATTAAATAATAATAAATTGTTCAATTAAAATGATAATATATCATTATTTTAAATAATAACTAATCTTCAATTAAAATAATAATAAATAGTTCTTCTTAAACAATTCAGTTAAGTTATATTAGATCAAATAAAAATATAAATTAGATTAGATTTTTATTTGATCTAATCTGATCTTCTTAGTTCAGTTAATTTGATTGACTTTAATCTTAATTGACTTATTCAGAGCTTTAGAATTCACTTTTTTTAAAAATATATCAGCCATAACAAAAGTATAAATTAAATCTTTTATTAATTATTTTTTACTATTAGTAATTAAATTTTTTTTTATTGTAAACCTTTTCTATTTGTTTTTTGTTTATTTTTTTTTTGCATAATGAATAATATCACAAATATAATTATTAATTATTTTTTTACTTAATAGTATTATATAAAGTAAAAGATTATTATTAACTCAAATCAGAATATTTGATTACATAAATATATGCAAACTATATTATTAACTATAAATAATTAACAATAATTTAAAAAATTGAATTTATTAAAAATTATTTGCAATTTGTTTAATTTTAATTAATCAATATAATTTAACACATACTATCTTCTAAATTTTGTAAAAATCTAATTTTTAATTTCTATATTTGATATAATATTTTACCTTAAAGTTAGAAATTATTATTTTTGAATTAATTACATATTTTCAAAATTTGAAATTAATATTAAATATAACTAGTGCTTAATTTATAGTTATTTGTTAAAGCTCATTTTAATAATTAGCAAAAGTTAAAACTTTATATTTTAATGGATTTTTAATAAGACTTTAATATAATTTTAATTTTGATAGAATTTTATTATAGTTTTAAATTTTGAAATTTTAGTTTTACTAATGATTTTATCAAAATATAAGAGTTTTATTAGGTAATTATAATTCAAATTTAAAAATTCAAATTAAAAAAGCTTAGATAAATAGTGATGATTAAGTAGTAATTTTACCTCTTTACTTTTTTTCATTTTATAAATGCTTCTGATCAATAAATATTCTAAAATAATTATAATAATAATATAACAATCTTAGATATGCTTTAAACTGTTCTGAATAAACTTAACATTTATGAGCTAATTATATTTTATAAGATTTATAATTCTTACTTTAGCTAATTATCTACTAGAGTCAACCCATTTAAAGATAAACTTTGTGAAAAAAATTGAATATTTAGATCAATTTGCCTATACTAAAGGTAAAAATTTAAAAAAATTCTGATTATAATATTATTTGTAATAGATTAGCAGAAATTCCAAAGAAATGGTTGTAAGCATAATATTAATAATGCAATAAATAGGTTAAAGATGATTTTTTAATAAGATAAAACTAAAGAGAAATATTAATAACGATTTGATACATTGATGAATTAAATGAATAGAAATTTTATTTTTATATATATAAAAAAAAATAATATAAATTTTTTTTTTTTTACCTACAATTAGTGATATATATTTAATAAATAAAACATTTCAAAAAATCTCGATTAAGGTATCTAGAGGTTCAGATCGTTAAATAATAAAAGATAAAATTTAGCTTACATTACGATTTGACGAGTATGAAAATCCGGTGATCATCTACTATGAGTAGCAGATAATCGAATGATTAACTTGGTTTTTCTCGCATCTCGACCTTTGTTCGTTGTTCCTTATTGTTTACGATTCCCTTGCGTTCAGAATATTTTATCTATCACTAGTATCCTACCATACTCTTCGTTACAAACTCGTTCTTTTTCTTGTACTTTAACTCTTTTTAAAAGGAAAATGCCTCCAAAAAAAGTTGTCAAAGAAGAACGAATTTTGCTTGGTAGACCAAGTAATAATTTGAAGATCGGTGTTGTTGGGATGCCTAATGTTGGGTGAGTTTTTGAAGGAAACATTAGGACTATCGATTGTAAAGAGAAAGCAAAAAAAAAAAACTTGTCTTTTAAAACATAGATACGAGAGTAATTACCAAATTGTACATTTTTATTGTATCTCCCATTAATAAAGTTATATATATTTATATATATATATATTATTTGCTTTATAATCTATAAATTATTTATTGATACTTTTAGTTTGATAAATTGATCTATATATTGAGCAAAACGTTCTTATACTTTTTTTTTTTTAATTCAATATGCAGAAAATCCACTTTCTTTAATGCTATTACAAAAAGTGCAGCATCCGCGGAGAATTATCCTTTCTGTACAATAGGTTAGTCTTACGCATCTTAATTTACATAGCAGTGTATATACATATTATCAAATTTACAACAATCATTTATTATAACCTATGATAGATCCAGAGGAATCTCGAGTAGCCGTGCCTGATCCTCGTTTTGACTGGTTATGTGAAACATACAAACCAGCTTCAAAAGTGCCAGCTTATCTTACCGTCATTGATATTGCTGGATTAGTTAAAGGTGCAGCTACTGGAGCCGGATTGGGTAACAACTTTTTGAGTCATATTCGTGCTGTGGATGCCATTTTCCATGTTGTCCGTATCCTTTTTATTTTCAAAAGTTATTATAATACTAAACAGCTGTTACCTTAGACTTCTTTGACTTGCAAAAATTTTTGATTATTGATGGTGAATGATAGGGGCTTTTTCTGAAGAGGACGTAATTCATGTTGAAGGGGAACTTAATCCTATTAGAGATCTTGAAATCATTCATAATGAACTTCGTCTCAAAGATGAAGAATTCTTGACCAAGAAAATAGAAGAATTGTCAAAAGTCACGGCACGCGTGGGAAAAGGTGGCTCTGCGGCCGATAAAGCAAAGAAAGAAGAATTGGTTAGTGTCATAATGATTATTTGGAATGTGTGAAATGATGTTTTTAAAAAGATGATGAATTTTTAGTAACACTGTTAGAATATCGAATTTTAGGAAATTACGCAAAAAGTATTGAAAATAATAACAGAGGACAACAAGGATGTCAGAAAAGGGGATTGGAATAATAAAGAAGTAATTCTTCAATTAAATCATAAATTTATTTTTGATTTTTATGCAAATCATTGACTAAAATTTACTCCCACGCAAACAGGTTGAAATTATTAATAGCTTGCTGTTGCTTACTGCAAAACCCGTAATTTATTTAGTTAACTTAAGTGAAAAAGATTACATTAGGAAAAAGAACAAATGGTAAATGAAAATGTGGATATAATATTTAAAATATTTATATTATCATAAAGATAGGCCAAATAATTGCGTTTTATTTTTAGGTTACCAAAGATAAAGGCATGGATTGATGAAAACAATCCAGGAGATTTGTTACTTCCTTTTAGTGCATCATTCGAGAGTCAGCTTTCAGCCCTTTCCACAAAAGAAGAAAAGGAAAAATTTATGACTGAAAAGGACGCTCAATCTGCATTACCGAGAATCATTGTGGCAGGATATCAATCATTGCAGCTCATGTACTTTTTCACTTGTGGGCCAGATGAAGTCAGGGCTTGGACAATTAGGGTATTTAACGATAATATTTTGTAATGTGGTACATAAAGTAAATTCACGTGATTCATGAAATTTTAATAATCGATGTACGTTTTCTAAAATTGTAGAAACATACGAAGGCGCCAAAAGCAGCAGGAGTTATTCATTCTGATTTTGAAAAAGGGTTTATATTGGTCGATATCATGAGATTTAATGACTTAAAGGAACATGGTAGCGAATCTGCAGTCAAGGCGGCAGGAAAATATATACAAAAGGGTAAAGAATATATTTTTGAAGATGGAGATATTGCATATTTCCGATCTGGTCTCGCCAATAAAAAATAAGGTTATAGAGTTGTTATGTGAATTATCTATTTAATTAATATTTGCAAAAAAAAAAAAAACTTGATAAGTTATTTGTATTCATAGAATGTATCCAGACATTCAATGAGTTTATTATATAACTAATTAGTTTATTAAAACGGAATGAAACCAATTAATTACATTAAAGAGTAGACATTAAGTGCGTGTTTTTTTTTTTTTTTTTTTTTAAAAAAAAAATCGGGGGTGCGTAATTTAGAATAAGAAATATAATGTAGGTGCATTGCTAAAACTTATTGTATTAAATCATGACTCGACAAAATTTTCTAGCAAAGTGAAGGTTATGGAATAATATTTAATTTTAATTCATTCGGAAAATAAATAAATTTTCAAGATTAAATATACAAAATTAAATTAAATTCTATTTATGAATTGTTCTTTCTCCATATCTAAATTAAAATAATTAAAAATGCAAAATGAAGGGGAAAAACAAAACAAAAAAAAATATACATTAATTTAGCGTGGATGAATTGTATGTATGTGCTAATGATTGATTTGATTTATGGTATAAATATATAAATATTTATGATTAATGAAATTACTGTAAATACTTTTAATTCACAGAAAAGAAATATATTAAATAGAATGTCTAGTATCATTATCATCACTACTACTTGTATCTGATGGAGGTGTCGCAAAAGTAACAATCCTTGAATGATTATTATTCACGCTACTACTACCAATTGCACTTGGGCTTGTATTAGCCTTGGGAGAAAGGATCATTGATTCAATACGTTCTTGTTGTAAAGGTGTCACGGTATTCACAGAAGAACGTTCTCCAGAACCAATATTACTACTCGAAACATTACTAAATCGGGAAGTAATTGTGTATATGCCAGTACTAACAGATTTCCTTAGGTTATTATTTTCTTCTTCAGTTAAATCAACTATTTCAGTAAATACAGATTTAGTTTTTGCGGCACGTTTTACCCTAAAAGGAGGGGAAGGGCCTTCATCATCATTATTAGCCACGATTGGGGGAGAACTTAACGTAGTTGGAGTAGCAGGAGAGCTAGCAATATTAACATCAGCAGGCACAACTTTTCCTTTTTTCATTTTGAACGAAGAGGAAATACTAGTTAATGAAGTTAATGAATTCGATTTAGAATTATTTTCCTTCTCCTTATCCATTGATATCATATTTCCTATTACTTTCTCTTCATCATTTACACTATTATCGATGTTACGTAAATAATGATCATTATTATTGTTTGCATTATTGGCATTTCTCTTTCTTTTTCTTATAAAAAACCCCAAGAATATTAAGAATAATAATATAATTAACAGTAATGCAATTATTATTGGAAATAACCACGAACGTGTGCCGTTTGTATCTAACCCTGGCGTCGAAGTTGCCATTGATGTGGGTTGTGAAGGATTCTGTGTTTGTATTGAAGCGATATTAAAAGTAGTGTCGGAGGGTGATGGTTCACTTAATATCGGAACTGATGTATCAGTGGGTGAGACGGTAGCTGTGTCGGTAGGTAGTGATGTTGTGTCGGTAGGCAGTAACGTTGTATCGGTAGGTAATGATGATGTCTCAGTGAAACTAGGTATTTCGGGTATTAGTTTAGTAGCAATATCAGGAATATCAGATATGCTCGATACTTTTTTATTCGTGTTCTTATTATTGTCCGTTTCTTGTCTACGTTCAAATTTTTTACTTTTATTATAACTGTTAAAAATTACGATACTATGCGCTGAATTTTTGCTAAAAAAAAACAAAAGAAGGTGTTAAATAAAAGACGAAAAATAAATTTGAATAGAGTAAGCATGGTTAAAACCTTACGTAATTTTATTTGAAATCGATGTCTTAGCGGGCGTATGTGGTGTAGACGCCATTATTGAAAAGATATATATAATGCTTGCTACTGCCTGCCTCACCTACGTCACCTACCTCACCTACTAATTCAAACTACACTTCAAATAATAATTCAACCAAGAGTAAGCCGCGTTTTATCTTCAAAAAAATAAATAAAAAAGGAAGTGTAACTAACTATGGGAGGGGAAGTGAATCGGAAGAATAGAAAACGGGAAGTTGAAAAATGAAATGGAAAAGAAAAAGAAGGAAGAATTTCAAAATGGTAAAAAATTATGATAATAATAAGAATAATAATGATAATAATAAAAAAGAAGGAAAAAGAAGCTGGAAAAGAGAAAAAAATTGAAAAAGAAAATTTTTTTATAGACATGTCCCCGAATTACTATTTTTTTTTTTTATTATGAACTCCACGTTTACGCGAAAGAATCCATAATTAGCAATGATAATCTTAATGAACGCGTTTTAAATTTGTCCCACTATTTTACCTAAAAAACCATTCAAGGACCATTTAATGTCAAACTTACAACAGAAAAATGTGACAAATGCTTCGAGAGGGTAAGAAGCTCAACCCATTCGTTTGGTATATGTATGTTACAATGCCAAGTTACTTGAAATGGCTAAAAACCCAAGTTTACAAACAATGGATTTTCTCCCTTGTGATATTAATTTAATTTTATATTGCTTGTCGATCAAATATAGGAAATTGTTAACCAAAATTCACTAGACTTATGAAACCCCACTTGCATTATAATTACAATGAAATTTTTTTTTAACCAATAGTCAGAGCGAAACTTTTTTTTTTACAGGAATTAATTCCTCGGCAACAAACAAAAAAATTTTTTTTCTTATTAAATGATTAAATGATTGTTCCGAGATTGTCGTTTTAAATTAAGGTGATTCCCGTTTTTTTGCTAAACAATCGAGCAGTGATCAAATCAAAAATTGGCATTGATTAAAAAAAAAAATATATCATCATATTGCTTCACATAGTGATTTGTCGCACCTAAAATAAATACGATAACGCATAACTTTAACGCCACAAATTTTTTTGAGGGATCAATGCCATCATTACATCACACGTGACAGGTCTAGTTTCGATAGGAGAGGTTATTACAATGAAAAGGGACTTGGTGTTAAATGTTTGAAGCAAGCTATTTGGCATTTGATTGGCCATCGTCTACATACGACGTTGGTAATAATGATATAATCGTGGTCGAAAAAAAAAAGAAATGCTTATAATTATCTCCCTAGTATAAAAAGAGAAGGAAATTTTTACTGAAATGTATTAGCCCATCCATTTTTTATTAAGTTTAACCTAATTCAACATATTGAAATTCTTACAAGAAATGGTGCAATGAGATCCCTATAAACGACATTTCGTCATAATTTCGTCACAAGGTTTTTTTATCTCCCCTTTTATCAGGAGAAAATAATAATAATAATAAAAATAATATGTAAGAGTGTGAAACCTGTTTGAATCAAAAATCTTGGCCATAAACTTTCCGTTTTCTTTGTTTCAACGCGTAAAGGATTTCCATAAATCCTTTCGTTAAAATAATTTGAAACAAAATCATTTTTTCACCTGTAAACTCAAATCAGCAAGGAAATCTTTATGATGATTTACTTTTTTTTTTTAACCTTTCCCATAACATCCATAAAATAAACATTCATCGGGAATAGAATGTAACAAAATTCCGATTGACTTTGATTATTCAGCCAATAATGACGCCATCATTTAATAATAATCTAACTTTTAATATAACTTTCCCGCCAAAAAGATGATTGAAAATCACGGCAGCGGATTGGCCGTTTGTTTATTTATCGTTACCTTATAGCTGTCATTTCTTTTCTTCTTCATTTTGGGTATCTTCAAAACAACCGCTAAAGATTTTTCTAGATTTGAAGATTGACAAAAAAAAAAAATGTTGTGATCCCTATAGTTAACTTTATGAGGCAAACAAATCAAGTTTGATTTTTGGTTGTATGACGATTTTGCATTCACATTATCCTTTTAAAATAGAAATATTTATTTATTGTCATTCGGTTTGTTCGCATTTTCGAAAAAGATATATCCTTCCAATGAATGAATTAAAAAAATTTTTTATTTTACTTTATTTTTTTTTATTTTATTTTTCTCTTTTCGCAAATCAATTCCGAATGATGAGTAATTTTTTTCTTTTCATATTGAATCGAATGCTTTTGTTTACCCAAATTACGATTTTCATTTCTTGTTGATCTTTAATATCCGAATTCGTTTACCGTGAATTGTTTTTTTACCAACCCGATAAATAAATAAATTAAATATATAACTTCTCACGGACCCTTCAGGTTTTACCAAACAGGCTTAAGGCGCACCTTTCAAATGGGTCAACTTATCTTACTTAAAAAACCATTTAAATTATTAAAACAATATTACATAAAAAAAAAATTTTTTTTTCTTTGGTAAATCATCAAATAACAAATAAATAACGCTGACCGCCACTTTCTTTTTTCATCATAAATTGTTTTCATCCATAAATTTTTATTTTATTGTTCAAAATTTTTTTTTTTTTTTTTTTTTTTTTTTCCTTCTTTTTTCCCCCCTTTTTTGCCCCTCGTTATAAGGATTTATTTTTTTTTTTTCTAAAAGTTATCAGAAAAGAAAAAGAATTAAGATAAAATAAAAAAAAAAAAAAAAATCAAAAACTAACTTTATCCACATTCCCTTTTAATCAAGTTCACTCACACCTCTTTTAAAATAAGGTCCCCTAATCGAAGATTCTCGCCTAATTATTTTCATTCAAAAATTCGTTTTTGAACATTTCTTTCCTTCTTCCTTTCACCTTATTCAAATTAAACTCTCGTTATGGTTTACTTGAAATTAAAATCAATGGAAGATAAAAAAGGAAGAAATTGTGATCATTCAAATGACTGGTGCTCGCAGGGTAAATATTTTGAAAAAGATAAAAATACATAATGAAAATGAAAACCCTCCTTAATAAAAAAGGAATTCCTTTTATTATTATGTTCATTCTTAATAGGCGGGATAAACCAGAAACGTCAAGATTATCCTGGCAGGGCCAAGACACGTTCGAAAAGAGCTCTTCCCGGTTCAAAAATGATCGAATCTCCTTATACTCTTTCTCCCCCTCCTCTCGCCAATGCCATTTCGGATGTTCCCGACCATAATTATAATAAGAATGACGGTTTGATGATCGCTGGAATAATAATTGGATCATTTATAATATTATCAATAATAATATATGGTCTCATTCGATTTGCAAGGAAAAAGAAAAAAGATGACGCTTCCAAATCACAAGAAGAAGAACCACAACTCCCAGGGGGATTACCCATAAATCATCGAGCATTAACCATCAATTTTGTTAAGCATAATCATCATGCACCTGAATTATGTACCACCCCAGATACTCAACCAATATTAGATTATTACTCTTCAAAAGCTGGTTTGTCCTTAAGCCCTTCATCTCTTGGTAGTATTAATGGTAATAAAAATTCAAAAACTTCCGCCGATGAAAAATGTACCACGGTCGAGATAAACGAAACCACAGGGGATTCCACCAAAGAATTCTCTGGAGATACCGAGTATGTACCGCAGTATTATAACGGTATAGAGATTCCTCCTTTAGGTGCAAGGATCATTCCGTTGGAACGTCAAGTACAAATCGCTAAAGAGGCCAACTTGAGCCCTACTCAGAATAAAAGAAAGAGTAGGATTAGTATTAGCAGTATTCTTAGCATTAATAGCAGAAGGAAAAGCAATAATACTAGTCATACTTCTAATAGTTCTATTATTAATCATTATACCAATAATAATAGCACTAATAATACGCTTAATCAAATACGCGAATCAAATGCTGCGAATGAAGAGGACGTTTCATACTCGTCAAAACCCAATTAAACCCATTAGCATTCTTTAACGTAAATGTTTCATTATTTAATACCATATATTTTGAATTAATATTACTATTAGTACCTACATTTTTTTAATAATTAATGATTAATTAATTGTACAGAAAATTATTTAGAATAGAAATTTTTGTAAAAGTATGAGTAATAATAATTAATACGTGTTGAAAGTATTATAAAATATTTTGTACAGTAGCATACTAAAAATTTTAAAATAAAGCTTTAATATTGGTTATGGACTTTTATTGATTTGTCAGACGAAATAGGAAATTTGAAATGTATTTTTTATTAGTCGGATTCCCGTCTTTCAATTTTGTTTTTACATGTGAAAACGTTTTGAACCCACGTGGTATCGTTTGCCGCAGCACGCATTAATAACCGCGATAACTTGAAACCCTAATATGTAAGATTCATCAAAGAATAATTAATTTTGCATGTGTGGTGTTTGTAGAACACGGAACTTTAAGGAGTCGTGCTTGCAAAAGCTCCGCTCAAACCTGACCGACCAACCGGCCGACCATCAATAAAAAAAAAAAAACCCTTTTCGGTGATTATGACACGATCCGATTGGATTATTCAATCCGCGTCACCACACACTTTGTTAATCGTTAATCCATTCCTCTTTACCTTTTTTTTTTTTGGTTTATGAAATTCATTAATATTTTTTTTTTTTTTTGAATTATGAAATTACATTGCTTATATCAAATGACATTGAAAAGATCAATTAATTGGTCTAATAAATTCATTCATCTTAAAATAACATTATTATTATTATTATTTTTTAATACCATACAAAACGTCAAGAATGACTTTAATGACTTTTAAATTCTTGTGTTGCGTTTATCTTCGTCTCATTAGAAGCACAGTCAATAACGAAGTTTCCGGATTTATATATACCGATATTTATATGTTCATATATGATGTATTATCGTTATATCGAATTTTAATATATATCGGTATCAGTATATCGGAATACGGAATTCAAATTTCAACGTTCTTCGATCTCTTTTTTTTTTTTAACATGCCATTTTATTAAAATGCGAATGAGTTGGAAATTTGCTTTTCTAAAATATTAAAAGATACAAATAATTTTTTTTTTTTTTCAAAAATAGAAAAGGAAAGAAGAAAAAGACAAGAAATTACAAAACTTAAAATAAAACATAAAATAAAATAAAACTTGATTGATGAATAAAATGATTTGTGTACCAATATAATAAACTCTATATGATGATGTACTTCAAAGTAGTCTTATAAAGGTCAAAAAATAATTAATTATTACATTTACCAAGATCTGGCAGTAATGAATTCATTGCCTTTATCTTTAACCATTCTATTACCAATCCCTCCAACACCGAAAGCGGGACCAATTCTTACAATTCTGGTTAAAGTCGTTTTAATATAAGTTCTATATAAAAATTCCATACGGGAAGCTAAAGAAACATTTGGTCTATTATAATAATCTAAACCTAATAAATGTAAGGCACAAGAGACGAATTGTATACCGGCAGGACATAATAATTGGGCCGCATTTGCCGCCCTTTCACTATCCAAGATCCATCCACGTTGTTGAAATTCTGCTGCAACGCTTCCCGGCATATTAAAACTAGCGGCGATTGTTAAAGCATCCCTTGTAACGAACATACCGTAACTTGCTAATGGCAAACCTTTTGGCACTACGGTACCAAACATTTGAGTAAATGCTCTGTCTTTATATATACATGTTGTCATGTTTGCTATAGTTGTACCCAAGAATTTTGGTGTTTGATTATCTGTTTCTAATCTTTCACATATTGTGTCGATTGAATTTGCTGTTGCATATGTAGCAAAATACACTCCAAAAACCAATAAAAATGGTCGGGAACGAACGAATCTATGAGGTTTCGTAAGCAGGGTAATGATTCCACTTTTTAGGGCGGCTCCTAGTTTATTCCTTCCGCTTGCATTTTCTATAATCGATCTATTATCATGAAACAAAGGAAGGATGAGAAAAATAAGGTAGAAAGGTAAATAGTCATGTCAACATGAAAGCATAAAAGGAGTGACAAAGAAAAAAAATCAAACGAGGGAAATGCACAAATAAATAAATGAAAATAAAATTTTCATAGATAACATACCTATCAACTATGGTAATGAATGGTGAGACGGCAAAAGCAGCTGAAGCAGCCGCTACAAAATCGACACCCAATTTTTTACCAAACAAACTTTGATACTTCACATCAGACATGATAATTTATTAATTTTTTTTTTTTACGATGAAAAAAGGTTGTAATTTATCCGAGATGATTGAAAATTATTAAATATTTTTTTTGAAAAATATCTTTGGGAGGGAGGATTCGCGTTTGTTTCTTTTTTAAACGACAAAAAAAAATTTTTTTCAAAATTTATATAGTTTTAAGGCTGATTTTCATATAATCCGGAATGAGACTAGTTTTTTTTTTTTTTTTTTTTTTTTTGTAAATATAAAAGTCTCTATCGATTTATTTATAACAACAGAGCTTATCAGCTTTAAATCGATCACACTTCCTTATGTTTAAAGAGAATCGGGTGAAAAAAAAAAAAAAAAAAAGAAAATATCAATTCTCTTGAGAATATTTTGTTTATCAGTTGCACGAATCTGCACTCTGCAAAATGCAAAAAGATAAGCAATTGTTAATCAAGGTTGATCAGATATGGAAAGATATCATACCTTTAATCATGTGGGTTGTGTTGTGTCACAAACTCCCAAATCAGAAATGCGATTCTTTAAATATCTAATCAACAGTAAGTCACGTGTACTATTTTGAAAGAGTAATTAATGCATCCGATTCGTTCAATTATTAAATATATTTCCATATTTAATCAATTTCCAGAAAATTACCGTAATCATAATAAATACCGTTTATCGGTTATCAAACGTAAAAAACAAACTTTTATGACGAACTAACCCTTAATGATAATTTTATAATGCAGTGTACCAATTCGTTTTTCTCTATCTTATCTATTCGATCTATCCATATACGGTTATATACAATTTAATGCTCGATAACGCCACGAAAAAAAAATCTTTTTTTTGACACGTTACTGTAAATAATAAGTATGTTCTCTTTTTTGGGACGAAAATAATCTGCACTCTATTGTCATTATAAATTGATTATCTTATCAAATAAAACACAAGCGGTCCAAATTAGGAAAAAAAGAACAGCGGGATCACATAAGTAATTATTAGGTTTGTTATCTGATTCATTGTTAATTACAAAAAAGCGAAGAGATAGGCGGATTAGATAAAAAAAAAAAAAACAAAATGGAATTTGAAGAACTTAATGCATATTTTCTTTTGTAATCTGATCCTTCAAAAGAGATAAGAAAAATCTATAATCCTATGAAAAATGATAAGTTCAGTAAACAATAATTTTGATTTGTTTTATTTGTTTTTAAATTGCGATAATGCAATATGATTATTAGATCAAAAAATTTATTTCTTGCTGATAAGAAATAAATTTCGTAAAGACGGACGTCTAGATTCATTTTATTTATTTTTTTTTTAATTAAATAAAAAATAGACGATCGAAAATTAAAGATAGAATGAATTGATAATGACCGAAATACTTCATGTTAAAATGTTAATCATATTACCTTTCGCATTTTAATGTTATCCATTAAATATACGCGTAGAAAAAAATTTAATTATATATTATGAATCAATCACCCTTTGCTTTTCTTCCAAGAAATTTATGTTTTCAAATATTATTTATAAGATCCTTTTGATAAAAGATTCTTTTGGGGGACTGATAAGATAATAAAAATCATATGCGTCATAAAAAAAAATAAATTAGATAATAATTCAGACTGCAAAAGCATAAATCTGTATACATTAAACAAAAATCATAATTTTGGTTACAAATACTTTTGAGGCTAGAACAGAATCACGTGTCGTGTGTCAATCTAATATTATTAGTAGATTGCTAAGACTGTCTATCATCCCTGATATACACATATTGGTGAAATTATGCAACACCACTATATTTAAGATATAAAATTATGCTTCTTTATATAGCAACTCGGAAGAACTCTCCCATACTTCTTTTGTATACCTATGAAATCACGAAGAAGTTTATTCCCTATTGATTTGTCATCCAACATTGGTGTTTCATTAACCTAATTAAACACCTTTTGCGATGGACAATAAATCATGAGCGGTTGCATCGTTATCATGATAATTCATGTGATTTTGTTATTTGTATATTTTTGGTTAAATTATTAGGGAGACCTTTTTTTTAAAAAAAAAATTGGGGAAATGGATTGTTAATCATGACCAGATGACCGAATATCCGATTATCCGAACCGGACCGAATGTTTCGCCCTTGTGCGACGGCGATCTTATTTCTTCAAAGGGACCTAATAAATGTATTAACAGCTTGCAAATAATTTTTAGTATTCTTTAAATCTAATTCAGTACAATCTATTAATTTCATTTATCAAATTTTCGATGATATTTTTCTGAAATATCCGTATCATAGGAATGAACTGCCAAGTTTTCAATCAAGTCTGTATCATCAATTATATTTGTTATCAAATTTCAGTTTAATTTTATTGAGTTGTAACTTTACAATAAATTCTTACAAAATTTTTTGAGAAGAAATGTATTAACACTATGAGAATTATGAATAGGAAAGTTATAATCAGAAAAATAAGAAATTGGTAATACATATTTGGATTATATTAAATAAAATAATTGTCATATAAACTATTTGTGAAGTAGAATTTGCAGATAGAATACGGGTATT